CCCATGTTTCTTTCCTGTAAGTTTGAGAACAGTAAGTGACATGATTTTCCTTAAATGGTCATCATGGGAGCAGTGCCCAAAATAGGGGTTTCTTCAAATTTTGATGCAATATTACATAATGTTTTGCAGCATAATGACCATCAATTTTTAATTATAAAATATTAGTATCATGGTTATTCAGAAAATGTGACTAGCAAAAGTCTTCAGGCCCATGGAACTTTAAAGTCACATATTGAAAATGCCAAAATGTAAACAAGACAGCACTGTTCTGAAATGGGTTTATTTCCATTTTTAACACTATTTTAACATAAAACAAAATAAACAGTTTACTGCCATTTTTATATGACCAATGAAGAAAATTGATGAGATGGGAAAAGTAACAGTGTTAAATGTCCAACTTCCTCCATTCTGAGATTCTGAACATAGTGGATGAATGAATCTGACAAACTGCAATGATATGAGTTTATTTCCATTTTTGACACTTTATTACACAATACACGATAACAAGTTTACCATCATTTTTACATAACCAGCTAAAAATGTTGTAAAGATGCAGGAAATATCAAACAAACACTTTTACGTATCTTATTAGTTAACTAATGAGACTGTTAACATGCCTAAGAATTGAATATAAAAAATATGGAAAAACAGCATAACTTCTAAAATAATGGCCCGATTATGCTGATTTTCCAACTCAACCTTCGTTTTAGTAAGATTGGCCACTCCTATGAGTATTATGACAATTGGCCTATCTGTTTTTCACTTATCGTGTTATCAGTGTTGCATATATGCTGAAAAAAGTGAAAAAAACAGCTTAACTTCCATAAAAGTGGTCCAATCATGCTGATTTTCAAACTCGACCTGTGTATTATGAATATTTATCAGTTCTGTAAGTTTCAAGCCAAAGGGTAAAACAGCTTTTCATTTATTGTGTTATCGGTGTTGCAAAAATGCTGAAAAAAAGTGAAAAAATAGCCTAAATTCAGTAAAAATGACCCAATCATGCTGATTTTCAAACTTGACCTGCGTATTATGAATATTCATCAGTTCGGTAAGTTTCAAGCCAAAAGGTAAAATGGTTTTCCATTTATGGTGTTATCGGTGCTGTATATATGCTGAAAAAAGAGAAAAAATAGCTTAAATTTACTAA